CCTAGCACTATGTATCAAACCATTGACCTTCATGTCCAAATTGTTACTCTAGAAAGATCTTAGGCTCATGTTTATTATATTGTTTCAGATTTTTCGACAATTATTTGTTTAATGGGAAATAAGGATAGATTTGTCATTTCTTAATTTTGTAAGAACATCATTTTAATAAACCACTGAATTCCATATTTAAAATTTCCTGAACATGTAATTAGAAGAAGGGTTTGTAACAAATCTAGCAATAACCTTTTTGCAATTTCTTAATATTAGACTATCCATATGACTAAGAATTCTTTCACTGATAACAGAAATTGTAAAATTAGGAGAAAATTACAAAGTGTATTAATTACACCAACTACTCCTCATTGCTTCCTGTTTCTGACACCTCAAAGCTATTACTTTAATACCTCTAAGCACAGGTGGAAGAGTGACTATGTAGTCCCCCCGGTATGTGAGTAATTGTTCAAGAAAAGAAGAGTATTCTGCCTTACATTGTATTACTTTGCTTATTAAAAATGCTTTAGGTTTGGCCAGTGTGGCTCAGTTGATTGGAGTATTGTCCTGTAAACTGAAGGGTCACGGGTTCAGTTCCCAGTTAGGACACATACCTAGGCTGTGGTCTGATCCCTGGTCTGGGAGCATTCAGGAGACAGCCAGTCAATGTTTTTCTTTCTCTCTCCATCCCTCTCTCTCTAAAACCAATGAAAAATATATCCTCAGGTGAGGATTAAAAAAATTTTTTAAATGCTTTAAACGTGGACTTTTCATAGAAAGTAAAATTCTAGAAGTTATAATAAAATTTATAACCTGGGCAAATTTTATTGCTTGATTGATTTAGTCAGTTCCATTGTTTTCAAAAACTGCACAACAAAAAGCAAGTTTGAAGATGGAGAAAATAGATCTCTAGTTATACCATCTCTCATGATTTAATAAAATACGAGTGGATGTTAGTTGGATTTATCTGTAGCATATAAATTTTTACATTTCAAAAAAATTGTAATATAAATCTTTTCCCAAAGAACTTCAGAATTCTCATAAAAGACATTTTTGACCTTGCTGTCTAATACTTTTCCTAACAGCTTGAATGTTTTAGTGCTTTATTCCCTCGTGTACATCCCTACATGTTCGTTCTGCTTGGTCTGCTGACGTAAGAAATGTCTGGACCTGTAGAGAATTTTCATAAGAGTTTATTTGAGCCCAACTGACAGCATACGCGGGGGAGCAAGACCTCAGATGCTCCGGAGATGAACAGTCGTGCAGCTTCTTTGACGCATTTGAAATCAAGGGGGCACTTAAGGAAGATGAGGTGTGAGAGAGGCAGGGATGGGATTACAGGCTGGTTAACAAGGCTGTGCGCTTTCTTGAGGGTGGTTACGTTTATTTCAAAGGTACCTTAACTTAGATGCACAGTAACAATAAAGAAGGCTTCCTTAAGACAAAGATAAACCTTTTACTAAAAGGTTGTGTAACTGGGGCATGCCAATTCTGCCCAGTGAAGAATTTATCCTCAGAACACCCTGTCAGGTTACTCGCTGTAGAACTTCTTTTTTGCGGGGGGGGGGGGGGGGGGGGTTCCACAATAGAATTAGTATTTTCTATGGATTAGAAATTTTCTTATTGTCAAGTAAAAAAAAAACATTTACTGACCTGGCCAGTTGCTCAGTGGTTAGAGCGTCAGCCCACAGACCAGAGAGTCCCGGGTTCGGTTCCTGCTAAGGGCACATACCTCGGTTGCAGTTCGTCCCCGACACCGGTTAGCATCATGTGGGTGGCAGCCACTCCATGTGTCACTCTCACATCGATGTTTCTCTCTCTCTCTTCCTCCCTCGCTCCCTCCCACTCTACCTGAAGATCAATGCAAAAATGTCCTCAGGTGAGGATAAAAAAAAAAAGAAAGAAAGAGAACATTTACTATTTAGGGTGCAATAGATTCTAGGCCCAGCTTTGCCATTAGCTCTGGAGAATTCACGGAACTTCATTGGATTTTCATTTATTCATCTGCACAATAAATTATTTTTAAATTTCAGAGACAAGTAACTTTTTAAAAATATTACTATTTATAATGCTTTGTAACAGAGATGGTCGTCTGAGATTTTCTTTTTCCCTTCCTCTTTTTCACTGTAGCATGTTCTTCACTGACTGATTTGCATGCTGACAGGTCCCATCATTCCCCATTTTTCCAGGCATTTTTCCGCAGTAGCAGCTGTATTTGTCCTCCTCCATCTCCTTGCTCTGTGATGATACCCTGAACTCATTTCACAGCATTCTCCAGGCTCAGCTACACTCACATCTTCTGCAGTAGTGCATTACGAGGTCTGCTGGCGATGTCCCTGTCTGTTCCCCACGCACCCACCAGCATGGGGCTGTCTTAACAATCTTAAAACTTACACCAGGTGTCACTGGCTAAGCTGGGAGCAGATAGGGGCACTGCATTGCGGTAGACCGGGCAGGAAGCATCACCTTGGTTGTCAGATGAAGAGATCAACAAGACATTTGCTTGGAAGGTTAGGAAACAGTATGGACACAGCTTGGAGCTCAAGAAAATTTTCTACTCCACGACCCTACCTAAGTAGGCAGTGACTAATGGAAAAAAGAAAGAAAAGCAGGGATAGAGAAAGAGAGAGGGTGAGAGAGATGAAAAGGTGGTGTCTTTACTGTGATCAGAATAAAAGGCCACAGGGCAATGGGATCCAAAGCTCTGAATACTCAGGCCGCAGAATTCCTGACCATTAATCCTGGACATTTCTCAGTAGAATAAAAAAAATGAAAGTTAAATATTTGAAAAGTCAATACTATCTGTAAATTTTAACAAATATGAACTTCTGACTTTCTGTTAAGATTAATAAAAGAATGATATCTTTTTGTGAAAAGTATATCAAATAAAATTTATATTTTAAGGTGGAAGAACTTTAGGGAGTCATGTTCAATAAAATCTATATAGTGATTACTCACAGCAAAGTAAAAAGAGTATAATTGAACGCAAGCTAAACTCATCTGTGCAGACAGAGAAACACAGGAAACTATGGAGACATATTTCTTCAACATGTGAGCCAGCTGCAAGAGTGTACTGTTGTATGGAAGTGAGGTTTTGGATGACAGGCAAAACTAAAAAATAACTGACATTTGTTATAAACATATCGGTGTTGTACAACCACAGCGTTCATGTAATGTACTTCTTTTTTCTTTATTGATTTTAGAGAGAGAGGAAGGGAGAGGGAGAGAGAGAAACATTGATGAGAGAGAACATGGACTGGCTGCCTCCTGCATGCCCCTCACTGGGGATGAGGCCCACAACCTGGGCATGTGCCCTGACCAGGAATCAAACCAGCCACCTCATGGTGCATGGGTCAGTGCTCAACCACTGAGCCACACCGGCTGGGCCATCTAACATACTTCTTATTCCTTTATATTTTGTATCTTTTTGAAAGCATGTTAAATAAAATATATTTACAATTTTAATTAAAATATATTAAAATGTTTATTTGAATAAAAAGTTCGTATGGAAAACCAAATAATCAAGGCATCAAAACTGAAAATATTTTAAATTTTTTCTGGGTCACAGTTGTTCTTAACTGCCTTTGTGTACATAAACCTTAAAGAACCTAATAGAAAAAAACTATGATTAAATAAGGTGGTTTTATGTGGTGGCTGGAGGAGGAGGTAGAGGAACAGGGAAGGGGGAAAACAGTGTGGCTGTCTGTTACCTCAGGCTCTTTAATCAGAGGGATTGAACCAAACCAATCCAAATAACAAAGGACACCAAAGTCTCTGGGAGACCCAGAAACTGTCATTCCTAAAGTATAAGGCAGGGGGGCATGAATGAGTGATGAATAGACGTACATATATATACATTGCATGCACTGATTGGTTCCCACAAAGACTTGATTGAAATGATTTTGGACTTACACTATTCTTTGAGAGTAAATAGTAAACTATCAAGCAGAGTGATAACAAAAAACACCAGGTGAAATACGAAGAGCTAGTTTTGAGACCAGCTCTGGCACACATAATCGAACAACCATGGAGAATCACACGCAGGGTCCCTGTGCTCCTTCGAGACATTGACAAGTATTTCCTTAAGTCTGAAAGAAGCAGGTTAGATGAGGTGACACTCTGTGACCTCTAAGACCTTCCTGTCAGTTTGTGGCTATGCAATCAGTCTTTGCTTCTCTTTCTAAGTATGTAATTTCTGCTACCCTCTATTTTTGTCAGGCAGATGGCTTCAGTGGGCAAACAGACTATCCGAAATGGGTGACTAACACAGCTTTTTCCACTATTATTTCTACTATTATTTCTTTCTTATGTAATGTCTCCACGAATAAAAGAAAAAAAAGAAACAGTCTATGATTCTCATGGCATTCACATATTTTAGCTAGGTCTGTCTCCCTGAGGTTTGAGGGCTGGGGAGAGAAGGAAAGAACACTTTTCAGACTTGCTAAAGGTTAAGTTCAACCATCAGATCTGCCACTTGTTATTTGTGTGGTCATAGGAACGTTTTTTCACTTTGACTCTCTGTTTTCTTATCTATAAATTTTAGAAAATAATAGCACCTACCTTATGAGGTTGTTGGAGAACAAAATGACATAATGCTCTCAAAATTTTTATTTATTTTTAATGTTTTCATTGATTTGTTTGTTTGTTTGTTTTAGAGAAAGAGAAAGGGAAAGAGAGATACATCAATGTGAGAGAGAAACATCGATTGGCTGCCTCTTGCACACCCCTTACTGGGGATTGAACCCGCCCTGAGTGGGAATTGAACCGGGACCTCTCAGTCCATGGGACGATGGTCAATCCACTGAGCCACACTGGCCGGGTTATATAGTCAATTTGTAGCTTTGCTTGACACTTGAAGAAAAGAGGGTGACAGTGAAACATTGAAACGATTGTGAAATATCACGTCTGTTTTATGACCAGAGATTGTAAATGCCTTCATTGTTCATAAGTTGATGCTATTTTCTTTGCAAACCCTAACAGATATCTGAACATGCTACATTTCTTTTCAGTGACTATTGGCCTCCAAAAGCCTGCACGTGGATTTGCAGAAGACAGTGCTGCCTGGGCTGAGGGTGCGTCAGACCTCCAGGAGGTGGTGTCTTTGAAGGAGCGGATGGCGAGGTACCAAGCGGCTGTTTCCAAGGGTGACCACCACAGCTTCTCTGCCAATGTAAGCTGCTCCTGGTGGGTTTGTGTTAGGCAGCGGGCTTGTTGTCTGCTCTTCACACATCCTCCTTCTACTGCAATATAAGAATACTGCTGGACAATGAGATATATATAGTAGAAAAAGCACAGTAATAGTGTGAATCAAATTCAGAGGATCTAAATTTAAGCGTCAGCTCTGCTGCTTATTAACTGTGTGAATTTGGGCTACTACCTAACCCCTCTCAGAGCTTCAGTTTCCCAGACTGAAAAATGGGAATAACATCTACCACAGTGGGCCTCACTGAGGAGTCAGAGAAGCCATTTATGTGTAAAACATAAGGCACCGTATAAATGCATTATGATTGCCATCATTATCATTTAACCTATAGCTGTTCTCCTCAGGAAGGCTGAGAATTAATTTCAAATGTTAATCATGTGGGCCTGCAGGCCTCCCTCCTTGGTCTCATGTATAGTTCATTAAAATTCACTGGCAGTATAATTCCTTTTGCTTTCCTCATTTCTCTGTATGTACTAAATCCATTAGGTGTAGGTTAATCAACATAGAAATGAGGGAGATTAGCAATGTAGGCACTCTGCTAAACCAATTATGATTATAAGAAACAGCAGGATTCAGTAAAACCACCAATTTTTAGAGCCAACGCATAATATAGTCATATTCAAAAGAATTTGTGTTCCATACTCTGTGGCCTTCAATCCACAGGATTTGATGAGTCATTTTATTAGTAGTAGCTTTATAGCTTAATGAAATACAAAAAATATTATTTTATAATTATAATAACCAAATTAGCAAAATTGTTCATTTAACCAAAAGAGAAAGAGAATAGCCAAAAAGTGCGGTATTCTAAAATAGCTCCTCTTAACTTTGTTTTTTGCAAATTATTTAGAGACAAGGCAGACTGTGCCAAACTCATTAACACTGTTGCAATTCTAGATGGCATTTAAGTTTCTACATAGTCATTAAAATCCATTTTGGATGCAGAATAAATTTTGAATGAATGTAAAGAAATGACATAAGTCCCTAGATCAATTCCAAAACAACCAGTATCACTCCAGCACCTACTGCCAGTTTTCTTAGATAGCACCCCCTGCTGGATCATTAAGGAACTTTACTACAAATTAGTGTTCTAAATTAGAGAAATGATTCTTGGGAAACAAGCTGACTTTGAAAATACCTAATTAAAGCCTGGTTATTTAGCAAACCATCTTTTATTTCATAAGATGTTTATTTTCCATGTAGTAGGAGAATATACCATAAAACCATAAAAACTTGTGTAGGGCATAATTTGTATTTATAATGTGCAAAAAATAAAAAATAACAGAATATTTCAATTGAGCACATAAGGAAATTAAATTATCACTATTTAATGCAAAAAAATGTTAATGTAATTCTATTCTGGAGATAGTTTACATACAAGAAATTTAATAATCCTCTCCTGCCAATTTACAAAAAGAAAGAAAAAAAAAATGGAGGGAAAGTGATTTGTGGAGATGATGTAATTTGTGACAAAGCCATACTAAATTTCTAGTCTCTCGACTTCAGTGTCTGTTCAACTATATTCAGCTGCCTCCTCTTGTACACAGAAGCATATTTGGCCTATTATTTGATTTGGCCCTAAGTAAACATTGTGAGAGAAAATGAAGAACACATATTATTGCAGAGAAATCCTGGTAAAAATCAAAAGGAAAGTAAATAACAACACCAAAAGAACCTGCCTTATTCGGTCAGCTGTATCAAATGCTTGTTCAAATTTTTTTAATCATGAAAACTGCTTGTGACTAAATTTCTGTCTACACAAATCAACCAAATATTGTATGTGAAAAATCTGGAAGTCACCAATTCAGCCCCAAACTGTATCCATTATATGTCCATGAAATTGAGATAGCTGACAGGGGTCAGTTTCTCGCTGTCCTGCACTCAGCCAGATGGCATTTGGCTGAACCTAAATGAAGGACATGCTTGCGACAAGGCAGCAGACTGCAGAAGCCCTCTGGAAGAGAAGAGGATGTAATACTGGTCAATGAGAAATACATTGTTATTCCAGGTTTATGAGAAATAACACTGAGGTGTAGGAGCTCCTGTCCAAGGTTTCAAGTGTCCGAAGTGGGAGGAGAATCACAGACTGTCCAACTGCCCAAATTATGTTATTTCTCTTATGCCCTGGAGCCCAAGGGCAGTTCTTTGTCAAGGACATTGGTGATTACGTGACATATTTACCTAGGTTTAAGTGTAGGGTATTTAAATTAACTTATTAAACTAACTTAGTATTAAGTAGGTTCTGTGTTAGGTATTTCAATGCACTTAATAAGATCACTTCATTATTGGCATGGCCATGAGATTCTAAATCTTATTTCTGACTTCAAGGATAAGAAACCCAGAACAAGGATAAACATGAAAAGGTGTGAAACAAAGCAATCTAAGTGATGTGGTCATTTACAAGAACATGGATTCGTTGGCAGGTTTAGTACATGGTGCCAAGCAAGGCAAAATCATGGGAAGCGATCTCCCTCCGAGCAGCTTATGGCTGCAGACTGCGCCTTGAGAAAGTCCTGACATCTACACGCCGTAAACCTTCCTTTACAATCTGAGCTGAACAAGAAAACCTTACCACTGCCACTAAACCGCAGCGTTAGGACGTGCCTCCCTCGGGTGGGTGAGCGGCAGCTGCGGTGTGGCGCCAGTACCAGCATGTGGGCACAGCGGTAGTACCACCAGTAAAAATAGTCGACTGCATGCATTTCTGCGCGTGTGATTTGCTCCGATTCGAAGGCGCAATGCTAGAGGAAAGAAATGGGCACATCTTGTTTTAAATCCATTTGGTAGAGGAGAGGCAACCTGCTCAGTCTAGAAACTGATATTTCTGAGAAAATGTACATAGTAGGAAAGTATCCATTTATTAGCATAATTCCTTGGGTTTACCAGATTAACTTGAACATGATTTGGACATTGTTTACACTTGTTGGCAAGAGGAAGGTTCTTCTTAACAATCATTACCTTAATTTCTACAATTTAACATTTATAATCAGAGTAGAGCAACAGCTGGCTTATAGTTGTAATACGAATAAAAGATACAATCACTAATATATAATAATACAAGAATGAACCCTGTTTCCCGTACTCACAACTGTGAACCTACTTTTGCCCCACCCTGTATTTTCTATATAGGATCAACTGAGAAAGGCTACTTATGTAAACTAAATGGAAAAAATAAAAATCATAGCTTTAATTCACCCTTCCCCTTTATTACTTCAAATTTTGAAAGGGATACCATACTTTCTCACAACTTTAATGTGTATTAATAAAATGGCAGTAATGGACCAGGACTTCTATTGAAGTTTGTTGCAGAATCTGGTAGAATATATATTTAGCACATGTAAGTGTGCAAGCTGACCCCTGCTTTCCATGAAGCCGTTGTGCATATTCTTAACTATTTACCAGTCCACGTACTTGGGGGAAGGTTATGAAGTGAATAAAGCAACCACTTAAATATTTACCAGAATTCGGACAATCTTGAGTATTCATTTAGTCTCCAGTATTTTGGAATATGGGAAACCCAGGCGGTGGTTGTATTTTTAGTGCCCGAGAGAGAATGCATTTTGGGTAACGAGTCCAGATCCACAGGAGCTGTCCGGGGAATGGACACCTCAGCTCACCGGCGTTCCGGGCATCCAGTTACTTCCATGTCTCCAGGCTTCCAAGGTTTTGTCAGGACAGCACCAGACCTCAGGAGACCTACTGTGGTTTGAAGTGTTGCTGAGTCTGCTCCTGGTTTGCAGGAGACCTGGAGGGTGTGTTGGCAGGAGGCCTGCGTGCTTGAGTGCCTGCTGGGCTGGGAAGTGTGCTAAATTATCACAAGCGAAGCCCTTGAGTTATACCACTTCCCGCCGGGGCATAAAACCTGACACACGCCTGTGTTTTTCTATTTGTTCCAAATACTGCCTAAATGCTGTAAGATGCCAAAGATAGACTAGAATCCTTATCATCTTACCCCCACCCCAGCCCATCTATTCTCACACACCAGTGCGAGGACCTGAGTCCTGGGGGTACAGCTGCTGTTTTTCTGCCTGTCCTTTGAGGCTGATGTGATTAAGACAGACAGCTGTGAACGAGACAGAGCGATATGAGTTCAAATTCCAGCTCCAACACTCACGCGCGAGCTGTGAGAACTTACAAGCTGTTTTACTTTTCCAAACCTCAATTTTCTCATGTTAAAATCAAGATAATAAGTATCCATATCTCACAAAAAATGGAGAAGCATCAAATGACAAAATATATGTAAGTATGTAGCAACTTACCATGTACTATGTATTAAGTAGTTGTTATTGCTGACAGTAATATTTATGCCTAAGAGATACTCCAAGGCTATTTCGTTTATCCTTGATGATTTAAACACATTTTGGAGTGAGTCTAATGTTTTTAATATTCTTAATATGTTGCCTATAACATTTTGGATTTTAATGACAATCTTGCCGGGTTAAAATTGAATCCATTGTTTTCATTTCTACTAGTTTGTGTATTATTAGAGAAATACATTCTAGTAGTTTTAATCTCCAAACATTAAAATCTGAAGGGAGAATTAACTCAATATTTTGAATAGTCTTATAACATACCAAAAGGCAGATAAATGAGAAAATAACATGGAAAAGTTATTTTTATCAAAGGATTCTGGAAGGGCCTACTGAAATAATTGTGCATATTAATATCTTTTTAAATATATCACCCATCAATAATCGTCAACAATTTTTTTTAATAGCTTGAGAACCCTTTCTTGAGAAAATATAAAGCTGATTTTTCCTTTTTTAAAAATTGTCCTAGATGATGGAGGAAGCAGACATGTGCACAGTGCCTGGTGGTTTGGCCAGAGTGAAGAGACGATTTGAAAAGGACAAAATTGCTTCTTCCTGTAACACCTTTTCTCAGTACCAGTACCAGCATCGGAACAGATCTGAGCAGGTAATACTGCTATAGTGAATGGATCAATCAAGTAAGATCGAAATGCTCTCATTTCGGTGACAGTGTAGGGACGACCCCTACCACCCCCACCTCTTTAGTGGTCCACTTATTTTCATCCCTCATTAACAAAAATGGTAACTTTTAAATGTTTTAGAAAACCATTTTCAAGGCATATCAATGTACTGATTTATTTACTTGAAATATTTTGCCACATTTCTTGGGAAGCACGCTGGAATATTTTTCCTCTCGGCATCTTATGTTTCAAACATAAATGAAAATAAAATAGCTTCAGTTAGTCAACAGTTAAATAGAAATGTTGAGTACGGTGTTTATACTAAGCCTCTGCTTCTAGGTCGTAATTCCTAGTAAACTACCTGCTGGTTGTTGGTATAGATTAAATCTGAAGCATTATTCAGCTGTTTATTGTGGTGAGTTTCCAGTTTTCTTTAAAAATCATCAAAAATTGACTAGTGGAACCCAGATGTTATAGAAAACTGTATAATGTTACCTTATATAAAATATTTTTCCCATTTTATTCTTCCATTATCGTATATCACTAAATATTATCATGGGATATAATGATGTTTGAATGGGGGAATTCTAAGTACTTAAAACTCATTATTAGAAAAAAAGTAATTTCATTGTAAACAGTTGCACTCAGGATTGTATTTTCCACGAGGAAGAAAGTAACTGGAGTATTTCTGAAACTTTGTAGTAGGAGATAAAAGTGGGTAGTGTTAGAAAAAAAAAGAACTCTCGTATATTTAGAGTTGCCTGAGTTTTAAAAAATAAGGTGTGTTTGGTGGCAGAAGTATATCAGATGGAATGATTAAAAATCTGGCATGTGAAAGAGTATTTGTTTTCTTTATCTGCCTTTGTCTGACAACTAAAAAGATGTGCAATACAGAAAGCTTAATACATTTATGCAAGATTTCTTTTGTTTACCTAAAAGAAACATAATGTCAATAAGAAATTAAAATTGGATAGTCTTGTGATCTAATCTATCGCTGTTGCAACATAGGAGTCTTTGAGTGAGTCATCTGTGCCTGTTTGCTTGAAATTGGTCAACAGTATGAAACACAGTTATCATTTATACTTTGTTACACATTCTACATAGAAATGCAGGTAATGGATTTACAGAGCCTCCACTTTTCAGGGAAGCACTGAAGTAGAGTGTAAGGGTGATGGGACCTGTGGATCCCAGGTCAAAACCACCTGTCAGCAGCTGACTGGCACAGACACAGGCCACCTTCACCCGCGTGTGGCTGGCCATTTCCTCAGGGCCCATTCTTAGAAGGAGCCTGCACATAGTTTAATGCTCCACTATTTTCATCTTGAAATTCTTAATAATCTCTTAACAAGGGAACACCACATTTTCATTTTGCACTGGGCCTGGCAATTATGTGGCCGGAACTATACAAACCGAATTCATAACCCACTCAAGCCTTAGGTTCTGATGAGGATGGTGAGAAACCTGTTGAGCAATTTGTCTATCTCCTGAAGCTTTATCGAGGTCTACTATAACAACGAAGGAATCTTTCTGTGAAAGTTTTTCATTCTCTGTGAAACTTGGAATCAGCAAGGACCCTTTAATAGGACAAAAGACAGAAAACTCTACTCAAAGTGGCTGAAAGCAAGGGAAGCAGGACAGGTTCCTCAAGGCAGTCTTCTGGAAGGGAGTTAGGATGGAGTCTGCTGGTCCGCTGGCTTAGATCAACCCTTCAAGGATGAAACTTTTAGGAACGTTGTAAACCAGATGATGTCATGTTAATAGTTTGACATTAGCCATAGTAAGAATATTTATATCAGGGAAATTAGCAAAGCCAACAAATCAAGGATTTATTTCCTTCCTTCCTTTCTTTCTTTTTTTTAGAATTCATTTTTAAGTATGTATTAGCTCCACTGATATAAAGCTTAAAGTATTCGTCGGACATAGTGACTAAGCACAGAAACTGAAGTCAGATCACGTGGGTCCAATTCCTGCTGCATCACTTATTAGCTGTGTGACGTTAGGCAAGTTTCTTAATTTTCCCGTGCCTCAGTTTCCTCAATTGTACAGTCAAGGTTACAATAGTACCCCTTTAACAGGCTTGTTAAGAAGATGATTTGTTATATTGGTAAAGTGCTTAGCACTATGCCCGACCCCTTGTAAGCACTACGCATGTGTTTGTTTACAATAAATTAAGCATCCCCTTGATTGCATTGCTTCTTTTTTGCCTCCCAGCCTTACTTCCTCCGAACTGCCTCCGTTCTCACCCAGGTAGTCCCAAGATAGTTGTAAAAAAAAATTACAGAGAGGGAGTAAGAATGCTTTTTCCAGAAGTCCCAGGAAAAGGCCACGTACGGTTGACTCTGAATGGGACGCACACGCGTCTCCAGCAGTAACTCCTGGAGCCGGAGGATGCCAGGCAGGCCCTGTGCCCGTTCCCTGAGTGGGAATGTTCAGCAGATACGGTTATCAACAGAGAATAAATGAATACTAGGTAAAAACAAAGGCAACCAAACACACTATATGTATTCACAATAAGCTTCTTGCTGTAGCTGATTATTATTATAAGATGTAGTATTTGTTCTATGAATTTGGAATAATAATGTGTGGGAGACAAAACAAAAACAAAAAAACACCCATGCGCTAGAAGTCAAATCTGTGTGACCCTGGCCTATGGTGACCTCTCTGTTTCATTATCTACAATTAGATGTGCCAGTAACAGCCGATAATTTCATGAGTGACTAAACCTAATTCACAATGCAATGAAATATAAAGAAAACATATGAAAGAACAAACCAGAAAAGACCATTTATTGAACTGTATGCTGAAGCATGTGGGAAAAGAAATAAACAAGTTGCCCTTAGAAAATTATTAACTGTAATTTATAATGCTTATTGGAAATTTTAAAATAAATGTTCAGTTTGGTAATGGAGTGGAAAATGTAGAAAAATTGTGTCTTAGATGTTAACTTAAAGTTTTAAAGCTATCAAATGCCTTCTGAAAATCACTGCCTTTATCAGCAGAGATTGAAAACCAGATGTTGACCGGTCAAGACAATTAATTCTGTACTATTTAAGCTTTTGTAGGTTCTAAGAGTATTTTCAGTCTTTTTGCTTGTTAAAAGTACTTGAGCTTTATCTCTCTGCTAAGTCTGCCCCTAGCCAAAAATGTGTATATTCTAATTTTGTTAATATAAAATTAATATTGACTTGGAAATCAAGTTTTATTTGAGTTAAGCAAAAACATTCCTTTTGGATTTCTGACAATATTTAATATCACCATTACTAATAATTTCATAAGGTGCAATAATTAAGTCCAATCTGCTTCTTTTCTTCTGAATGTATTGAAGTAAAATGTTTTTGGATGATTAGCTGGCGATTTGGTAACAGTTTGTGGCTCAGTGGATTGAGCATTGTTCCATGGACTGAGAGGTCCCGGATGGATTTCCAGTCAGGGCACATTCCCGGGTTAGGGGCTCAATCCCCAGTAGGGGGCGTGCAGGAGGCAGCCGATTGATGTTTCTCACATCAATGTTTCTCTCTCCCTTCCTCTCTCTCTCTCCGGAAAATCATTAAAAACATTTTTTAAAAAAGGAAAAAAATGTGTTGGGGAAACTATGTTAGTTGGCTCTGGTAGTTAGTACTAACCGTTTTTAACATCACCCATTTAGATTCTACTTTTCAAAACCGTCATTCCTGATTCTAACATTGATGAATGAAACCCAGCCCTTTGAAGGAATTATAAACCACTCAGTGTGTCTCCTGTTGCTATTTAGGTTAGAAACTTTGCTTTAGGATGGAGTTCTTAGCATTCCATGCCAGTGAAAATATTTGTTGTTCTTAATGCTAGGATAGAAAGGATCGCTTAAGAGGGGTGTTTTTAATCCACTCACTCCAACAGGCTCCATTTGGTAAGAGCATTCTGAATAATCTACCCCCTCATCCTTAAAAGGGTGTCTGAAATGTGCTGGAGAAGATTAAAATAAATGTGTTATTGGCATGATATGCCATTATCTTTCTTCTGAATTCATTTTCACTTGCCCATTCTATGGTTTCTATTTCTTGTTTGTTTTGTTGGTGGTGGTTTTTGTTAATTCTCACCTGAGGATGTTTTTCCACCGATATTGTTTTAGATCGAGTGGAAGGGAGGGAAAGAGAGAGAGCAAAACATCAATGTGAGACACATTGATTGGTTCCCTCCTGCAGGCCCCCGACCAGGCAGGGGATCAAACCTGCAACCCAGGTACATGCCCTTGGACAGGAATTGAACCCACAAACATTCATCTGTGGGCTGACGCTGTAACCACCGAGCCAAACTAGCCATGGCTATGATTTCTTAGTTTAAGACATTCATTCTCTTTTTCTTTTTTTAGACAGCTTTATTGAGATATGATTTACATATCACAAAATGTGTCCTGCAATTCAATAACTAGAATATTTACGAAGTTGTTCAGTGTCACCACCACCTAATTTTCGAACATCTCCCCTTCCCCCAGAATGAACCAGGGGCCCGTGAGCAGTCTGAGATGCACGTTCTCTGTGTCATAGTCTCACACGTAGGGTCTGCGTTTCTCTTCTCCCTTGAATTTCTTCTTGTTTTCTTTCCCCCACATATATGCAGTACAGAGTAGCTCTTTGCCTATCAGTTGTGAAGTCCTGGAAGCCTCTTCTTTTTTGTAGTTACTGTTTTATTATTTTTAAGTGGCTTAAGTAGAGAAGAACAGATGGAGCCCCCCCAAACTTTTTGAAGTAATCAGTGGCATACAGAGCTTAGGTGGTTGCTTTCATGTGGAAATGGTCGCCCTGAGTCCATGGGAAGAGTCTGAAGTATTCCTGACCTTCACTCCCTGCTGCCAAATCTGATGTGGCCCAGGGGGGAGCTGCGAGGCAGTATGTTCCTCTCCACATACATCTGCTGTTGCAAAAGTCCTAATGTCAACATTAGCACTCTGTGAGTTTATTTGGACTTGGAACAATCCCTGGACAATTTTAGGTTGATAGAAATCATTCTT